TCCCACATGGAATACTGAGAATAAAACCCAGGTCAGCTGTGTGCAAGGCAAAATACCCTACTATCACTCTGCCATACTATCACTCTGTACTTTAAACTTCTGTCATTGAGAACTAATTTCTCTGGTGATTGGGATTTTCAGGAAGAGGCTACTTTTAAAAGGCACCCTTGACAGACCTAGGCTGCGATCTCTACAGTACATGTGGAACATTCAGATGAAACTACCTATGGAGACATAGCAGCAAGGGGCATGGAGCCATGAGGCCTGACTGGAGATGGGGGCTTTGGATTCCTCCAGCTAAATAAGATGGCCTGGATGCAGGATGTGTGAGGATTCCAGCTTGGTTTGCTCAATTCCCAGAGACTCTAAGGCAAATCATCAGGCCGCTGTGCCCAAGATGATGTATCAGTGTTCTGGGCTGCTGTTGATTTCTTGAAGCTCCTCCAAAATGGTGCTTAGAGGGCCATTCCTAGAAGTTCTTGGCTAACTGGATTGGGTAGATCAGCACTAAGGCTCTGTGGAGCTAGAATCACAAGGCCCATCCTGACAGTGCTCACAGTGCCATATGGAGCTGGGAATAAAACCACCTGACATGCACCCTAACTCTTATGCTATGCCCCAGCTGCTGGGCTGGTGTTTTGTAAATAAGATGTGATTTAGACACTCAGGGAGCAGTCTGGTGAGAGAGAGAAGTGGAGGGCAGAGTCATCAGTACTTACAGAAGGATCAGGGATCATTGGTCAAAATGGTCTGTTAGTATGCTGTCTCCAGATGATGCTCACAGAACATTTTAAAAGATATATGGTCTACACCTGCACAACCTAATTACACAAATGCAAGCTTATTTGAATTCATGAGATGGTATTTTAAAGGAGAACATTAAATATGTTTAATTGTACATTCTTGTTAACATGATTTCTTTTTCCCCCTCATCAGTGTAACTGTATCTTGTTCTAATCAACCCATATTCCCAACACTGTTTAACAAGGTTATGGCCTCCAGAGAAAGGGAAAATGACCTCTTGGCTTAGGCAGGGCAGGAAAAAAGGATTATTCAAAATGTACTCCAATGGGATCTTCTATTTAATTTATGGAATCTAATTCATTTAAATCTTAGATTCAGTAGGAAAAATGATGTATACTCCTTCGAAGAGTTGTGTAACCCTAGGAGGATGACAGAAAACTTTTTATACCATTTATTTATTCAGTTATTTATTTGGAGGCCACATCCGGTGGTTTGTGGGTGCTATTCACGGCTCTCTGCTAACGACCACTCTAGGCAGTGCTCCTGGGACCACACTGGAGTAGGAATTAATCAGGGCTACCTGCGAGCAAAGCTAGTTCTTAGCCTGTTGAGGGCTCTCACTTCCTTTCTCTCACCCAATATATCGCCTACTTTCTTCAGCTGTAAAATGGGATAATAAGAAGACCCATCTCCTAAGAACTTTATAAGGATTAGATGAGATAATCCATGTAAAGGACTCAGCTAAGTACTCTAGCATTTAACTTTCATGAATATTAGCTTAAAAGCTGTTCACCAAGAACTAAACAGCATATTTACTCACATTAGCTAAGTACTAGCTTCACTTGCAATACTTCTAACATAGCAACACCACTGCATGATTTAAACTTCATGCATGTTATATAGGCCCTTAAGAGCAAGGGAATTTTTCTTGCCAAGGAAACAGATCCTTTCATGATGGTTCACATTCCTTGGCTATTTGAAAGATTAACTTCAGAGATCACTTTTTGAAAATGTACCTCCCAAAGCATTTATTTGAAAAGTATCTGGATATGGCTGGTTGGTGGACTAACCTGGCTTGATAAGTATCTGCTTTGTTTAATGAGGCTGAGAAATAAAAATAAGGAAGGACTGTGAGCATTGTAATTCAATAGTGCTGGGAAATGATGGGAATGCTGGTTAATCAATAGTCCACCCACTGTTCAAGAAATAACTGTCTACTCTTTGTAGTGGACAAAGTACTAGTTCCTGGAGATACAAAGACAAACAAATGACTTGGTTTCAGAAAGCCAACAATTTAGAGAGGAAAAATATAAAGACATGAAAATATGTTCACTGTAGCACTATAGCACTATCCTCCCATTGTTCATCAATTTGCTCAAGTTGGCACCAGTGACGTCTCCATTATGAGACTTGTTACTGTTTTTGGCATATCAAATATGTCACAGGTAGCTTTCCAAGCTTTGCCGAGCGGATGGAATACTCTCGGTAACTTGCGGGGCTCTCTGAGAGGGGTGGAGGAATTGAACCCAGATCAGTCACGTGCAAGGCAAATGCCCTACCCACTATGCTATAGCTCCGCCCCCCAAATATGTGAACAGATTTAAATGATCAGGGCCATGAATTGGGGGTCTTCACAAAACCTGAAGCAGAAGGGAAGAAGACGCCTTCAGATCTTCTCCCCACACACACACTTCATTTCATAGGTTGTCTTTTGACTTGGTTGACAGTTCTTCTCCTTCTTCTTCTTCTTCTTCTTCTTCTTCTTCTTCTTCTTCTTCTTCTTCTTCTTCTTCTTCTTCTTCTTCTTCTTTTACTTCTCCTCCTCCTCCTCCTCCTCCTCCTCCTCCTCCTCTTCCTCCTCCTCCTCCTCTTCTTCTCCTTCTCCTCCTTCTTATTCTCCTCCTCCTTCTTCTCCTTCTCCTCCTCCTTCTCTTCCTCCTTCTCTTTCTCCTCCTTCTCCTTCTCTTTCTCCTCCTTCTCCTCTTTCTCCTCTTTCTCCTCCTCCTCCTCCTCCTCTTCTTTTTCTCCTCATTCTCCTCCATCTCCTCCTCCTCCTCCTCCTCCTCCTCCTCCTCCTCCTCCTCCTCCTTCTTCTTCTTCTTCTTCTTCTTCTTCTTCTTCTTCTTCTTCTTCTTCTTCTTCTTCTTCTTCTTCTTCTTCTTCTTCTTCTTCTTCTCCTCATTCTCCTCCATCTTCTCCTTCTTCTCCTCCTCTTACTCCTCCTCCTCCTCCTTCTTCTCCTCTTCCTCCTCCTCTTCCTCTTCTTCTTTTTCTCCTCGTCCTCCTCCTTTTTCCTCCTTCTCCTTCCTCCTCCTCCTCCTCCCAGTCCTCCTTCTTCATCTTCTTGCTTTGCTTTGTTTTTGGGCTCAGTGAATCATATGGGGTGCCAGTATTGAACCTGGCCAGCCACTTGCAAGGCAAACACCCTGCCTGCTGTACTGCTGCTCTGACCCCCAAGTTAATGGTTTCTTTGTGCAGGTTTTGGTTATTACACATTAAAATTAACCCTTTATGAAGAAAAGCAGAGTTAAGGCAAGAGCATAATGAGTTCAAATTTTGTTCTGTTGTTTTAAAGTGTTCATGAAACATTCAAATCAAGATGTGCAGAAGCAGTTTAACTAGTAACTATAAAACTCAGGAGAAGTCAAGGTGAGAGACTCAGAAGTCATTAGCATTTACCTGGGCTTTGACAGGTATGCATGAAACTACATGTTGGAACAGAAGACAGGAAGGCCAGATAATTTTTAAAAACCTTCTTATGGGTTCCTTATTTATATATGCATATGCCTTCTGATTGGTCAATCCCACAAAGCATCATTTACATAGGTTATAACCCATCAGACAGACAGCAGAAATGGCCAAGGAAGGTAGGGAGATAGTGATACATACAAACTCAGGCCACTGTCTACAGGGGTTTCTTGTGGTTGGGGTTGTTGCTATTGATATTGGGGTCATCACAAAAAAACACACTATGGCCATTAGTGTCAGTCTGTAGAGATGCGTTAATGTACCCTATAAATAAAGAGCTTTAGTGCTGAAGACATCCATTGCCAGTGTGTTACTTTCACTCACCATCTACAAAAACCTGAGCTTCAGATAGAGAAGAGAGCACCAAATAAAGGGTGTTGTGAAGACCCTCCCAGGGTGGGAGAGACATGCTAAAAGTGGTCTATAGACCAAACATGACTGCCACTCAATGCCTCTCTGGCAAAACACAGTACCCAAAAGAAGAGAGAGAGAACAGGGAGGAATGCCCTGCCACAGCGGCAGGGTGGGACGGGGGGTGGGGGGGAGGATGGGGGATGGGAGGGATGCTAGGACCCGTGGTGGGGGAGGATGGGCACTAGTGGAGGGATGGGTACTTGATCATTGTATAACTGAAACCCAAGCACAAAAATTTATTAGTCTATAAGTGTACTTCATGGTGTTTCACTAATAAAAAAAATGATAAAAAAAAAAAAAACCTGAGCTTATCAGATCTGCTGCAACACTACCTTGGAAGAACACAGATGTTTCTTGACTTATGGTGAGGATGTATCCCAATATGCCTAGCATAAGTTGAAAATTCTTAAGTTAAAATCGCATTTAAGGGCCAGAGAGATAGCACAAAAGGCTGAATGCATGTTTTGCATGCAAGAGCTCTAGATTTAATATCCAGCACCACATGGTTCCCTGAGCACCTGAAAGGTGTGACCCCTGATCCTGTGCCAGGAATAGCTCCTGAGCACTCCGTGTAGACACACCCTTCTCCACACATACACAGAAAGAGATGCATTTAATACACCTAAATTACCAAACATCATAATACAGCCCCACCTTAAATGTATATTAGTCTACAGTTGGAGGCAAAACAACATAAAGCCTATTTTCTAACAAAGGGTTGACTCCTTTGTGTAATTTATCCTTGACGAGGACCAGTGTCCCTCTGACAGCATCCCTGACAGGGGCACAGCTCAGTGCTTATTGCCAGTAACACAGAGTATATTTTATTGCATGTCAGCATCCCTGGGGAAAGATTAAAATTCAAATTTTGAAAGATGGTTTTTACTGAATGTATTGCTTGTGTAACATCATAAAATTTTTTTAAAAAATCATTAATTTGGCTGTTTAGTCGAAGAGTGTCTATGTAGAAACTGCCTGTGAAACATTAACATTTAAATGGCAGATAGAGGAAACAGGGAAGGGATAGAAAGAACACAGTCAAGAGAGGAGGAACAGAATCAAAAAAATCAAGAGGGAATTTTTGAGATTGTCTCGATATTTCAAAATATGAGTTTAATCGGAAGTAGTTAATATTCCACAGCAGGGTTATTCAATACTCAAAGAACTTGCAATGTTTTATACATGTGTTTAAAGGTTGAGAAAATAAATTAGAACTCCATAATTCACACTTAATGCTAAAACTTTCATCTACTAGAAAGTTGGAAAGACAGTTGGGATTTTTTTCCAGCACCTCAAGTCATTATGAATTCTATTGTTGTCCTGGTCAATTGTGAAATTGCTGATAAGTGGAAATTTAATTAATCTCTGGCTAAACTAAGCTTTACTCCAAATGAGAGATGGGCTCATTAGCAGATGCAAGGAAGAGGTATCTAGGTTCCAGATCAGGCTAAGAAGCCAACTGGTCCAAAGACACAAACTCATAAGAAAAAGTCAGAAACTCTTTTAAATTATGTTTCTAGTGGGTCCTTGTTGATCCTTTCTTTCCATGATTTGCCTATTATTTGCTATACTTTCTCCTACTTCTGTGTGTTTGTGAGCCTTGTTTGTCATCTAGAAGAAAGCTTAGAGAAGAAATCAGTATCACAGTAGGTATCCTAATACACAAAGAATGGCAATGCTATCAAAAACATGCACGTGTTTCAAGTGCTTGCAATAACTATCTAAAAGTTTAAATATGAGTTCTTAATGTTCTAACTGACACTTGAAATAGAAAAATCCAATAAATACCAAAGAGGTGGGTTTATAAACTTGTTTTTAAGCTGAACTTTCCCAAAGAGAAATCCTTTTGACTTCAGGGACTTACTAAATGATGCTCTAGGCACGAGACTGAATGGATTAATTGTGTATGTTCTCTGGGTTCTGACTAAGGCAGTTTAAGCCTGAAAGTTGTGCCTCTCAGTTCTGTTACTGTCATAGTTAAATATAAGGAACAGACTATGTAGAAGTGTTAATTATAGGATTGTTTTCCCTAGATGGCCACGTTCTGGCACTGCTATGATCACCAATGGTCTGGCAAAAGCCAAGCGCTTTTCTCTGATGTCAGGACAGTCAATATAGAATAACTCCCCACTTGTGCTTGCTGGGTGAGATTTCTGGATTAAAGAAGGCATATGCTGAATGATACAGCTCCTGATGAGAAGGGAAAGGAAAGACATTGGAAAAAGGAAAGGGGTTATCTGAATTGGGGGCTCAGAACTTCTTACTGTCCCCTTGCACTTTCTATAGGATAGTAGGTGGTTGTGACCTTTTTTTCCTTCATAAAAATCATTTTGAATTGGGACTATTCATCCTCCTCCTCCTCATCGTCATCACTGTCATCATTGTTGTCTTCATCAGAATCACCATCATCGTCACCATCATCATCACCTTCCTCATCATTATCATCCTCTTCATCCTCTTCATCATCATTGTCATCATCTTCTGTATTTATTTTTCCTGAAAGCACATCCTCAATCCAGTCTTCCAGCTCCTCAGCAGTGGGCAGGTCATCATCGTCTGAAATCTCCATCCAGACACTGTCCGCCTGCAATGAGGGCCAGAACAAGCAAGAGGGGATGAGAGTAGAGGAGTGACTAAAGCATGAAAGATGAACCACACCACAAGTAACCGTGCTAAGTGGGTTCCCACTGGCTTATACATATCAGAAATGTGTGCACCATGTTTCAGAATATCTGTCTGTGCAGTAGAGCAGAGAATATGTGTGTATATATATGTATATCTGTATGTTATATATGTATACATATATGTATATATACATATACATATATATGTATATATATACACATATACACACACATATATGGAATTTCTGGGAAGATATAAGTGGAATGATTACAGTGATTCCTTCTGAAGATCAGGAATTGGAAAATACTTGTGATTTTTTTACTTTATACTATTACTTGGCTCTTAAAATATGTTAACCAGCAAATATTTAAAATTATTATTAATACTGACTTAAATATAAAAATTACTGCATACTTCCCCAGGTGATTGAGTATCTAAAACAGGGTAAATTGATATGTCTATCTGGCCCCTATTTATAAGATCTTCCACATATTAATTATGGTTCTCTCTGATCCTGTCTTTTTGCCTATGATTTGCCCATTATTTTGTTGTGTTTCCACCTTCCCATTGTGTGGTATGGGGGGAAATGACATGGGGAGTGTGGGTCATCCTATGTCTGGACTAAGGTCTCAGGTCCTGCCAATCCATCTCAGTGTTCTTCCTCATGTCAGTACCATTATGACGAAAACCTCTGCGCCCACCTAATTGTATACCTTCCTTTCCTCTGGATGTTAGGAAACTGCCCTCACAGGGTGAGTCACTGCCTCCTCACTCGCCATGGAATGTGAGCTTCAGCTGTGGGCTTCCTTGAGTAATTAAGACCTTGCTGGTTTTGGTGGGAAAACACAGGGATTTTAGTTGGGTAGAAAGTTCTTGATAGTCACTGAACTTATGATGGCCTCATAAGCAAGAAAATATGCTGCTGACAGGTGATAGAGATTTGGTTGGACCACACAGGCAAGTTTCCTGAGCTTGGTGGGGCCAGAGGTCCTGTAAATTTGATAGGAGGTCAGATTCCTATATAAGACCTGAGGGTTCAGGCTCAGAAAACAACAGACTGAGTACAGGTGAGCAAGCTTTCCTGGGGGATACTCACGTCTGTCACATTAACCACCCCAATCTGCGGCTTGAAGAGGTCGATCTTAAAAGTCTGTTCCCAGTAGGCAATAAGCTAGAGCAATGATAAAAAGTCAGATTAGAGAATAGGCAGAGGAATCCTTTGTTCAGTCACTTCTTTGCAACTGGACCCACCAGCCAGCCTATAAGAGAAACTAGGTCCCCACTTGTCAGAAGTCTACAAAACAATCATAGACACTTAGGAAATTGAGCACTTGGTCCCAGGACTCAAACCCTTTAAATAAGCACGGGAGCAAAAAACATCATAGCATAAACTATAAAACCATTTACAAATGAAAGCTTCCACAGCTGTAAGGAAGATTATTACAGATATGGTTCAAAGTTGATCCCCTTAATTACTTGTGAGTCTTTGAGAATTTACATTTGATAAAAGAGCCATTTCCCTCCAATTTTCCTTCAATGTCCCACTGTAACTTCACTTACCTTGGACTGTCTGCTACATAAGATGTCAGGGAAATGCCTCAGTTGGCATGCAAATAAGTAAAGGGCTTTTTCATTCAGCCAGGTTTGGATTCGATGTGGACTCTTCTTTTACTGGGGCAGAACTGAAGGGGTAAGGGGCTAAGGTATTGGGTAACATTGGTCTAGTCCTTTCTCCTCCACCACAAAGATCTTAGGTTTACTGAGTAACACCCATCATAGTGTTCCTCAGAATTCATTTCCTCATAATTCATCTTTAATTTCTCCTTTGTGTTCTGCTTTCCCTATCTGTTAATCACTCATTTCCCCTAATCAGAACCTGTGATTTATAAAGTCAGATTCTTCAGAGATCTCTGGATTTTGTATCTGTAAGTAAAATATTTCTTTTCTCTTTCCTTTATGTCCTTTACAGTTTACTTTAGAGCAATGTCCTTTTTGTATGGACACAGGAAGACAGTTAATGCTATGGTTTTGTAAGTTGGGAGTTAATTGGCTCCAAATAATATTTACTCTTGGGCATCTGTCATATTTGCTTAACTTAAGCCTCGGTTGCCATTAGTTCCTAGCACCCCAAAAGGAGGGTCCTGACAAAGGGATTGGATGGACCCAGGGCAAGCTGTGAGCTACCCTGGCATCAAAAAGGGACAAACAGTCTAAGCGTCATGAAACTTATAATAAGTTAAGAGCACAGTCATGGACAAATTCTGTCATGACCCAAAGAGAAGTGACTGGACAAAGACCTTACTGGGGTTAGGAAGGACTAATCTGGCCTGAGGACTGTAGTCTGGGATCTATAGAAAGATGTCCCCTGGAAAGCTACCCTATAAGCTTGATACATCTCTTACGATTTTCATATAAAATTACTAGAAAGATTATTAAGAAATAAATTTAAGATGACCATTTAAATGGATACGGACTAAGGAAAGGAGAAATACTCCCTTAGATGAAATTCTACCCTTGAATGATCTCCTATCAGGATAGAACTTTGTCTTAGAAAAAACTTCCCCAGACTGAAACGTTTTACATATGTTGGCTGTGATATCTCACCTATGTGTCTTTGCTACCCCCAATCCTTGGTGATTGTTCTCTATAACTGAGGCTGTAAGACTGGGCATGGGGAGACTAGCGTGGGGAAAATTAAGAGACTGGAATGAGAGAGGAATGTGAGTCTGGAATGGAGATGGAGATTGGAATGAACAGCGACTGAATCAAGGAGCTTGTTGGCCCTGTTCCTTCCTTCATGCATCCATTGGCAGCAGCTGTCAGCCAGGGTGGGGAGGGACTCCTGACTGAATGCATGTAGTGTGTACCCACACATTTGAACGCACACTAAGGGACTAAGGAAATGTAGCTTCTCAATGGTAGAAAGTCTCCCAGGCAACGATAAAATCTGATGGGAGCTAGGGAGCCAGAAACTTGGAAATCAAAACATGTAAAGACTTTTCCTTTGCCAGGAGAACAAGGCAAGCATATAGAACAGATCAGAACTAAAAAATCATTTGCAAGTTTGCACAACAAAAGGATCCAGGTAAACAAGAAATACAACCAAGTAAAGCCTATAGCTCTATGAAACTATGGCTATACTACATACAAAGGTACAGTCTAGGGTCTTACACAGCCATGCCTTTGTTAAAATGGCTTCGAAGAAAGACATTGGTGAAATGAAAATTTCTGCTTTGAATCACCCATCCTCTGTGTTGGACTGGATTTCAGTACCTTGGCTCACTAAAGCCTCTCAATTTTGTTCATTTACTCAGAGTGTATTGATTGTAACCTATGCAACTGATGGTGATTTTTAAATTGATGATGATGATGATATAAAAGCTGGAGTCAGCATTCACAACCTATTGATAACTAAATTTGTCTTGATTATGGGCAGTTAGCTTTCACTTAAAGTCTACAGATGAATAAACCAAGATTGGGTGTCACACAGACGTGGGTTGGAATATCACTTCTGCTACTTACGTCATTGCCCTTCGTCTTTACCTGTGTGTGATGGGGATCTAGCAGCCTCGACTCCATGAGTGGGAGAGAGAGATGATTCAGACACAGCAATTACTGCGGTTCCAGGTACATGTTAGAACACATTAGCTATATTCATTCTAATTGCCACTGGGTTTGTGCATGGGGCAACATCTGTTTGTTCTTTATAAAACTAATCTCAGGACTAGAGAGATATTACAGCACATAAGGTGCTGGCCTTACAGACAGCCAACAGGGTTCTATCCGCAGCACTCCATCTGGTCTCCTGGAATATCCTGGAATATCCACCAGGAATATCCCTGAGTGCAGAGCCAGGAGTAAGCCTTGAGCACAGCTGGATGTGGTTCAAAAAAGAAAGCAAACAAACAAAACAATATCCCCAAACTAAGTATAGTCAAGACTTCTTGACCTTGGGTAGTTAATATTAGCAAGGGTTTAGAATTTAAGGTTTCTGTAATTTCTAAAATTCGGATTTTGGGCTACAGCTGGCAGTACTCAGGGTTTACTCCTGGCTTTACACTCAGGGATCACTCCTCGCAATGTTCAGGGACCATATCACGACGATCACAACCATCCTGTTGTTCGTCGATTGCCTGGAGCAAGCCCCAGTAACGTCTCCTTCATCCTAGCCCTGAGATCAAAGCTCATTCAGGGTTAGGAGAATGAGACCCATCATTGTTACTGGTATATGGCATATTGGGTATGCCACGGGGAGTTTGCCAGACTCTGTCGTGTGGGCAGGTTACATTCAGTAGCCTGCCAGTTTGTCCAAAGTAAGAATGAGATAATAAGATGTCATAATAAGATGTCACGCAGCCGCGAATGTGGCCACGCGGTTCCGTGAGCTGGGTTTTATAGTCTCTGGGTCTTGGCCGTTGATGGGATTACATGGCGCCAGGGGGCCAGTTGGTGGGTGTGACCCCTGCCTACTGGAATATGGAAAATCTGGGTGGAGGATGCTCAGCCCCGATCCGAGCAGGCTTGGAGATCTCAGGCCCAGAACCCGCATGCCTTTGTTCCTCTGCCGGTACCTTCATGCGTGTGGAGAGTGGTCTCAGCATGGTGGTGGTTGGCAATGTTCAGAGACCATATGGTACAGGGAATTGCACCCGAGTTGGCTGTGCCCTAGTTATTATACTATGTCTCTGGCTCCTTATACTATGGCTCTGGTTCCTAAGGTTCTTGAACTTGAAATAAGGACAAGAGACTGCAAAGTGCAAAGACCAGGAAAGATATGATGATCAGCACTGACCGATCCTCTGCTCCTTCTCCCTAGAAAGTTCTCAGCTCTGTGCAAAATGTTCATGTCTGGGTATTATCACTTAGCAACTCTGGTTGCCTCAGAATAATATTCTTTTCCCAGAAAACGCAAGCAATTTGGGCAAGAGTGAGCAATGGGACAAGTGAAGCTTGGAGCTGCTGGCAGAGAATTTCACCCTGTTCCCTTGAGAGGGCACTGTTCCCTCCTGTTCTCAACTGAGTGACAACATTAAGTTCAACACCAGTTCCAGCGTGGCTCAGAGGCCTTTCTCCACAGTAGTTGGAAGTGGCCACTGGGTGGCTGCCTGCTTCCCCTAATTCACTCCCTCCTTCCGGTGTCAGAGGCCCACGCCAAACACAAATATGGACTGTACAGGTACTCAATGGCCCCATTGGAGCAGCTCACCAGAGGGAAGTCGTCTGGGTCGATCCACACGATGCTCAGGTCAGGGTTGTCAGTGTTATCACGGGCCACCTGTTTCAGGATCTCCAGGAACTCGTAGCCATCTGCAGCAGGATTCAAGAAGGCTGAGTGAGCCCTGCCCAGACCTGGCTTCCCTCATGGAGAGAAGCAGTACAGTTTCTCTACCAGAGCATCTTAGGCCCCTTGGAGCATACCCTTAATTACAGGATTATTCTATGAAATGAGTCAGCTAAGAACTGCAGCCACAAAGCAGCTTACTCAAAGGCAACAATAAAAGTTTTTTTTTAATTTTTATTAGTGAGACATCATGAGGTACAGTTGTAGACTTACAAATTGTTGTGCTTGGGTTTCAATTATACAATGATGAAATACCCATCCCTCCGCCAGTGCCCATTTCCCACCACCATGGATCCCAGTATCCCTCCCACCCCACATCACCCCCATTCCACCCTGCCTCTGTGGCAGGGCATTCCCTTTTGTTCTCTCTCTCTTATTGGGTGTTGTAGTTTGCAAAGTTTTGAATACAGAGGTCTACAGCTCAGAGGGAAAGCATCGTCTGCTAATATGCATGTGAAACAAAGCAGTGTTGAGAGTAGAAAGCAGAGGAGCCGCCCTGGTCCTTGCATCTCAATGCCAGACTTCGAAAACTGACTATCAGTTCACCTTGGAGCTGGCCATCTCCCTTGCTATACCTGTCCAACACGTGTAGCTTGACCCTATGGTTAATGCTAACCTGACCTTTTGAAAACCTTCAAACACAGTGAACTTCTGTTCTGTTGTTCTGTTTTGGGGGCAACAGCTAGCAGTGCACAGGCATGACTCCCAGCACAGTTCTTCAGGCCTGAGTGCAGACTTTGCACAAAGAAAGCCGTGGGTGAGCCCATAAGTGAGCTTCTGACTTGAACTTGGTTTCTGAGTTTTGGGATAGTGGAACTTCCCTTCTCCTAGTAAGCCTTCATTGCCCAGGGCAGAGGTGACTCAGTAAAAAAGAGACACACCCTTTTGTGAGCTTCAAGAACACAGAAACTTTTTTAACTTAAAATGTCTAAATTATGGACCAGAGTGGGGCCAGAGAGATAGTACAGCAGGCAGGGCATTTGCCTTACACATGGATGAGCCGGGTCCACATCCTGTTGTCCCGTATGGTGGTTCCCTGAGCTTATCAGAAGTTATTACTGAGTGCAGAGACAGGAGTAACCCCTGAAGATTGTTGGATGTGCCTCCGCCCTCCCCATAAACCCCCAAATCAATCAATCTTGGGCCAGAGTGATTGGAGCTGGCCAGGCATCAGTCCCTAGAACCATGGATAGTCCCCAGTTCTAGGATGACCACAGAGTCAGGAGCAAACCTTGAGCAGAGCCAGTGTAACCAAAAAAACAAAAAGAGCCCAAATCAAAACAAAACAAGTACAAATGCTGAAGGAGGAGGAGTGAAAAACATATGACATAAATGAGTATTCTAGAGGGCCGTTAGAGAGAAGCAGAGACCCATATGTCTAGGGTCTCTCTAGACAGCAAAGCTCTGTGCCCTGTCTAGCTGGTGCAGTGGAATTTACACCCTACAGGTCACTCATGAACTGCCAATGGGTCCATCACTGCAACTGCCCTTTCATGGGAAAGGCTTTCTTCGAATGAGGAAGGGGGGGATCCCCAACCTGGGCCCTTCCCTGGGCCTTGCCTCTCTAGGACTGACCTATCTGTTTGGTTGCTGATGGCTCTTAGTATAGACTTTCTTAACACTCCCTCCTTTCTCACAGATTCCCAGAAAAACACACATTATTCTTCCTGGTTCTGTTTGGAGTAGGTGAAGTGATTGTTCATGCAGCTAATTCCCACTGAATCAGCAGCCTGACAGACATGGGAGACAGATGGGTAAGCTGCTTTCAACTTCATTATCATGTGGGACTGAGTGGAAGTGGAGGGGGGCAGGGGTGGGGGCTCTTATTCCTGCTGCCTGTAGGTGTGACTGAGAAGATCAAATTCCTCTATCGTGCTTCTGGATGCTGACATCTGGACAAGATAAGTGTCCCTCACTGCACATGCCACTGTTTCATAGGAAGGGAGAGTACTCTCTGGCATCTCGGTTTATGGGGACCATAAATAGACCACCGAGGCAGCAGCTTTTCCCCTCTTCCCCACCCCCCAGACAACTTCAGCCACTCCTTTATGCAGCAGAGACAAAAGGGCTGGAAAAAGATAAGGGGGTGGGGTGTGTGAATTGATAGTACGGGGTAGGGCACTCACTTTGCAGATAGCTGCCCAGACTCAATCCCTGGGACTTACATGATCCCCTGAACTCCACCATGAATGATCCCTGTGCACAGAGCCAGAAGAAAGCCCTGAGCACTATAGGATGTAGTCCCCAAAATAAAAATATAAGCAAACAAACAACAACAACAACAAAAAACAGATGAAGTTTGAAGTCGCTAGTACTCTGGGAGAGACCCAGCCAGGTAGAAATTACCCAAAAGGGGAAATGCCACAACACAGACCCAAATTCAAATGCAGAGCAAATGAGCTGTAAGTCAGCACCAGGGAAGCACCAGGCTGTCCCAGGACAAGCGCCAAGAAGGGGAGGGCTGTCAACAGAACCAAAGCAGAGTGCCCAGGGAAATGTGTCATCTTTGGATGAAAATGCATAATGCTTGGGTTGACACAAAGGAATGCTGCAGAAACCTTTTCACATCACATTCCAGAGTGGGCTCAGAAAGTAAGACTGAAGGGAAAAGCATTCTGCAAAAAGTAACACTAGTTGTACTTTCTAATTTATTAAAAAGAGAAATCAGCTTTGTCACTGAATGCCTATTTCTTTAAATATAATTTTATTGGAGGGGGTGTGGTTGAACTATACTCTGGGTTGACTCCTGGCCTCTGTGCTCAGGGGTCACTTCTGGCAGGACTCAGGGGATCGTATGTGTTTCAGGTACTGACCCAGGGATCAGGCATATGCCAGGCAAGTACCTTAACCCTTGTTCAATCTCTCTGACCCTGAGAACCTATTTCTTCCTTCGAGGAACCAGGAGAAGATATAGTACAGCAGTTAGGGCTCAAGCTAGGCATGGACCCAGCCTGTGCTTAACCCTTGCCACCATATGGCCTCCTGAGCACCACAGGGCCTGAGCGATCCCCAACAACATAGGCCAAAACAACCCTGTCACTAGTTGGCCAGGGCTGCTGGCAGGACCCTGAGATCCCTGAGGCTCCTTGAGGGTTCCCTCACTTCCCAGAAAAGAATCCCTGTTAGGATTCTATGTTTCTGTGTCTATGGAAGGGCAAGGAAAACGAACAAAAACATACATGCACAGAATAAATTAACAAATGAAGGCTGATATTAAAGCTGGAAAAGTTGCATCCAACCCTAAAGACAACTTTCAGCCTTTAGGGACAATGATTTCAATCATGAGCACAATCCCTGGATCTTTGCAAGAACAGAACGTGTCAGTTCTCCAGCAAAGCAGTGTAGCATGGTTCTCCATCCAACACAGCCCCTTGGACAAACCAGCAAGGTCCAAATGCTGGTTCTTTACTCTCTCAGTTTCTTATCTGGTAATTATAGTAGCTACATCATAAGGTGGATGGAATGTAAGTATGAGATTTATCTCCAAAGCACTGGGACTGTTCTGGAGAGAGACACTCCCCTATTTTCCTATCATCTGATAATCTTCCATCTGGATTCATCTGCTCACACACATATGTTTGTTAAGGGCATTGGCCAAGGTGGGGTAACGACAGCCTTGGTCCCATGTAGTAGAGAAGGGATGCTAACAGGAAGTAATACCAGAGTGAGAATGTCTTGGGTGTTTTCTTCCTGGCTTTGTTCCTGATCTTGTGATCCAAATCTGTGCACTCATGAGACCATCTCCAGCGAGAGAGACGCAAGGCTTAACTCTATTCTTTGAAAGTCATCAAGCTAACTGTACTACTTCTGATACAAAATTCACAATTGCCCTACATTCTCCTCCCTTTATTGATCTGCCTTGAGGGTTTACCCGCTAGAAAATATTTCTCTTCTGGGAAAGTTATTTAGTTGTGTGAGACCAACTAAACAGGTCTCACGTATATTCAGTTGCTGAAGTTACAAGCAATTTCCTCTGAGGGAAAGCTTTCATTTCTCTGTAAAACTGGTATATAACCTAGGAAAGGGATCCATCGCGGTGGACCCTTCCTTCTCACCAAGAAGAAAGGTATAGGGACTGTATTTTCATTTTATTTTTGTTTTAGGGCCATGTCTTGACGTGTTCAGGCTCTACACTCAGGAATCACTCCTGGCAGTGCTTGGGAGACGACGTAGGATGCCAGAGATCGAACTCGGGTCTGCTGCATGCAAGGCAAGCACCCTATCTGCTGTACTATAGCTCTGGCCTGAGGGACCATATTTATTTTTACAATTCCATGTTAAGCAAACGACAAGTCCACAAATGGAATTCCACAAATGAATGAGAATAAATAAATGGACATATCATTTTTTTCAGTGAGAAGCTGAACTTAGAAAGTGTGACTCAGAAGTTGCTCTCAGGAAGACTCCTCCGTGGGGCTGGGGACAGAGCTTCTAGTGGTGCCCCAGGCTGGGGCCCAGCAGTGAATGCAGGGCACAGTGGGATGGGACAGCAGTTGCCTTGCAGGTGTGTTCTACGGCACAGAAAACAGAACAGGTATTTATGGGTTTGAAATGATCTAACCATGGAAACGAAAGGTCTACTCACTGAGAAGCACCATTCCCCCAATCAGAAGGGATTACCAACACCCCAAAATGCTGGCGAGTGAATTCCGTACCAGTGTATCTCTTTTCTGTGCCACTTCCTTTTTCTTCTCTCCTCCCCTTCTCCTGCCAGCTCTCCCTGTCCCTGGGTAGCCCTGCTTTCCTGACCTGTGCCTGCTGGTTACCCTTTCCGTCTTGTTTCACCTGGGCATTCCTCTCGAGATCCTCCTGTCCATCAACCCTCCACACAGTTTCTGTCTCTATCTCATCCTTCCCGACGGGGGCAAGTTCCTGAGTGCCAGTGGCTTGAAGGCCGGGACACAGTCGTGTGTGGGCAGGGGCTGCCCCTGTCCCCTGACTAAGGTTTCATCCCTGTGTCAAACCTCAGGGAGTCCAAGTGCAGTATTGCCAAGAAATACATCAAGGTCTGAGAACCTGACCAGGCAGAGAGTACCCCCAACCCAGCAGGGCTGCTTGGTCACCCCCGGTCAGAACAGGGGGGCAGTGTGAGAAGCCCTAGAAGGGCACTTGAGACCTGGGAACACTTTCCCCCCTCGCTGCTCTGTCGTCCCCTTGCCTGAGGGTCACAGAACTGACGAGCATGTGGCATCGTGGGGGAGAGCAGGAGGGGATGGCTATGGGTCTTGACTGCCTGGGTTTACGACCCCAATCTGCCATCGGTTAGCTAGGTGACTCAGGATGTGACTGAACTTCTCTGAACTTTCATTTCCTCATCAGAGAAGAAGGTAATGAGAGAAAGAACCTCCCAAACAGAGAGGGTGGGGCCCAGAAACACACTGATATTTGCTAGGTGCTTGGAACAAGGTTTTGTGTTTGGTACACAGCAAAGGTTCAGTCTGAAAAGTCAGACTTAACTGCCCAGCTCCCATCAGCGGTGCTGGTGTTGGAGACACTCATTGGCTGAGTTGGTTCTCAGGAGGTTGGGTCAGAACAGGGCTTGGTGATGACCTTCTGAAAGGCACGCCTGCATGGCTGCACAGAGACACAGCCTTTCTGAGCAGTTCTGGCTTCCCGGGCAAGCCTACCGGTCCTGGACACCATCACCCAGCAGGCACTGGTGCACACACGCCAGTTTGCAAGCCTCTGTGAGGTGTTCTAAAAGAGACACAGGCACATCTGGGGCGGCAGGTGACATCCATTCATTTCCAGACCTGTTGGGCAGCTGCTCTTGAGGTATTTATAGCACCGAGGCTGAGAGGAGGTGCTGGGGAGAAGCCAGAATCAAGTCAGAACCAGCACACAAGGTGAGGGCAGGGCCTGTGTGCTGTAGGGGTCTGAGCACTGCAGGGGTGTGTGAGCTGCAGGGGTGTGAGTTGCAGGGTGTGAGCTGAGAATGTGAGCTGCAGAGGTGTGAGTGCTGCAGGAGTGTTAGCACTGCAGAGATATATGAGTTGGAGGGTGTATGAGCTTCCAGGGTGTGTGAGCTACAGGGGTGTGGGCACTGCAGGGGGGTGTGAGCTTCAGGGGTGTGTGAGTTGCAGGGGTGTGAGCACTGCAGCGGTGTGAGCTGTAGGAGTGTGAGCTGCGGGTGTGAGCTTGTGGGTGTGAGCTCCTGAAGTGTGGAGCACTGCAGGGGTGTGAGCACTGTAGGAGTGTGAGCTGCAGGAGTGTGAGCTGCAGGTGTGAGCTGTAGAGTGTCAGCACTGCAGGGGTGAGATGTGAGAATGCAGGGACCTGCTTCATTTCCCCCCACCCCCGGGAGTGCAGAGGGGGCCTCTGCAGGCTTCTACCCCTTCCTCCCCGGGAATGAGCCTGGAGTGAGGGAGCCACTACGATGTCAGTCCTTGGGGACCCAGGTCTCTGCTGAGACTGCAGGAAGACGCAGGGTCTCCATCTGTGTCCCTATGTGTCAGGGGAGACGTGGGCTTTCCTCCTGAAGGCTCACAGGTGCGGTTGACACTGCTGGCATCACCTCCCTTCTCCTTTCTCCAGCCGTGCTGCCCTCTGCCTGCTCAGAGCTCAGCCTGCCAGGGGCTGTGTGGTCCACCACGGAGCTCAGAGAGGCCACCAACCATCCAGTTTGTGCCTCAGGCTCCCTCCGCCTTCTCGGGTCTTGCTGGTACCAGGGGATAAGGTGGAGGGTAGCTGGGACCTGGCAGCCTTCCGCTCAGGTCCAGCAGACAGCTCCCGGCCCTATCCTCTGCTGAAGTGGGGTAACCCAGGCCCTCCCTCGGGCTGGTAGCACACAGGAAACCATCGTCATCAGCATGAATTGGAAGTCTACTGGGATTTGAATCTTGGTTTCCGTACAACCAGTGGTTTAGTAGAGCTGTTTTTTGTTGTTTTTGTTTTTTGTTTTGACCTCCAAGATCTGCTATTTTTCCTCCTATTTGGAGGATGACGGTCATACAATCCTGGCAGGAGCCTCGGGCCAAGATCATTTCCACACAGCTGTGGCACAGTCCTCCGGGCTCCAAGAGGGCTTTCCTGGATGCGGTGAGCATCCCCTGGGTCAGGACAGCATGCAGCAGGAGTGAAAGCACCGTGGAACCGCTGTCTGGGCTGGAATGGAATTCCTAATCTGCAGTCAGGCCTCAGCCATGTGACACATCACTGACCCACATAATGACTGGCCAGATGTATCTTCAGGCCATTCCCCTGAATAGCTTTCTCTCTTCCCAGCCAGGAGCCACTCTGGCCCTTCCTCCTTTCTGGTGGGATCAAAAAAAAAAAAGATGCGTGCAGCTCCTCCCCCATTCCCCTAACCTCAGAGCACTTCTCCAGCTTCACCACAACAAGCCCCAGCTTGGATCCTCCCAGGAAGGCAGAGCTTTGGGCCCAGGGATATTTGTGCAGGGAGGAGGTGGAAGGAGTTTCAGGGACTTGATTCATTACCGCAACAATCTAACAATCTCCGTCAAACTGGTTCCTGCAACTACTTGGAAGCCTCTTTGTTCCATTGTTCCTGAGCGCCAGACAGGCCTCCTCAAAATCTTGGAAGGGCAGGTGAGGGGGGTGGGGAATGAGTCCCCTGGAGCCTGGCCAGTTTACTGCTGAGGATGACAATTTCATCTCTGCCCATGCAACACCTGGGACTTGATTCTGTTTGATTGCGGCTTGTAAATCTTGGGAAACTGGCTTCTTTTGCTTCTTGCTTCCCCTGGGGGTACAGAAGGGTGACCTCTGGAAATCTAAGTAAAGGGTCTGGAAGTACACTGGTATTACCTTACTTGTTTTGTTTTTGGACAAGGACTAGCTATAGTGAATTGTTCTCCCTGAATAACTTTGTGAGTCAATGATAGGGAAATGGCGATTTCCACAAGCATTCAAAGAGAAGTTCACTGAGAAGAATGGGGAATGCTCAGTTACTTTAGAACTTAAACTTGGCTGTGATGCAATGAAATATTACTTGGGCCTTAAAAAGGAAGAAAGCACAGATGCATGCTTACAGGTCAGACGAAACTTGAAAACATTCAAGATGAAAAAACCTGATGCAAAAGGTCATGCGGTACATGATTCCATTTACCTAAAGTCTACACGAGGGGAATTTATAGACCCAGAAAGTAGATTTGTTGTGTCTAGGATGTGGGGAGACAGGGCTGGAGATGACTACTGGGTGATTCAGGTTTCTTACTTTCAGATATGTAAATATTTTGGATACTGGTGATATTTGCACACCTCTGTGAATGTACTAAAACCCATAAAATTCCACACTGAAAAACAAATGCTAGAATTTGTGGATTATAGCGTATTAAAAATATATTTAAAAAATTGGATTTCTGTCTGTAAGAATCCATAGAGGAGCGAGAGAAATAGCACAAGGAGTAAGGCTCTTGCCTTGCATGCAGCTAATAGGGTTCAATCCCTGATATCATATATAGTTCCCCAGCACTTCCAGGAATATCACTGGGTGTGGCCACAAAAAAACAAAGAATAAAGATAAGAAACTATGGAGGCTGAAAATATAATAATTTATAATAATTTGTTAGTTGATGTGACAGTAAATGATTATATCTTAATATTGGCCAGCCATCAGCCTATCTCCATAACTGACATTTACTGAAGACCAACTGTGTGTCAGGCCCATGCAAGAACCAGGTGGGCAAGAGACCTGTGCTTCCTTTATGAGTCGCCATACTTGCTGTGCTCTCTCAGAAAGTTGTACTTCTCAGAATCTGTTTCTGATCTGTCTGCATACATGGGAAAGTGGTTGAAGTCCCCAGAAAATATCACCTACTTCTCCACTACCTGCAGCTGCATTCCCCTAATCCACTGGCACATCTGAACTTGCCTCAGAGCTCTGAGAGTTTAAAGTTCCTGAAAGTCTTGTTCTGGTCAGCTCAATGGAGTGCTGGAAGGGATAGCTTCCCTTACCGCCACATGGGAACCCCTGCCGGCCCCTGTCAGCTTAAGGTCTGACTGTTTATCCAATTTACAGGAAATTCCCTGACTTCTCTGGTCACATCTGAATTATTCCATATCTCCCTCGCCCCGACACAACTCTGCACAATCTCCACTTGCATACTCCTTTTGATGACCTTCTATTTCACAAAACCTTGCCAAAGGGACCCAGAATTCTATCATCTAGGAACACAAACTTTTTCTGCATTCCTCTCCCAGGAATGTTAAAAAAGGTAAAAGGTAAAGGCCCTCCCGTTGATCGTCGATTTGCTCGAGCGGGCCCAGTAACGTCTCCATTGGAGACTTTGTTGTTACTGTGTCTGGCATATCGAATACTCTCGGTAGCTTGCCGGGCTCTCCGAGAGGGGCGGAGGAATCGAACTCGGGTCGGCCATGTTGGCCGCTTGTAAGGCGAACGCCCTACCTGCTGTGCTATCGCTCCAGCCCAGGAATGTTAATGGGAGCAAAATCAGAAAAAAAAAAGCTGTGCAGGTTCCAATATAAGACATTTATAGAGTCACTTTGCACTTTGGAAACAAACTGCTTGTTCTGTCCAGTTCTATTTGGGGGATGCTTTCTATTAGGATTCCTCAATACAGATGATATTTGTAAAATATCGTAAAGCCAAAGACGACATTGATATTTCAAGGTATGATTAGGAGTTATATAGATTAAATCACAGTATTAGTAAATAAGCTAGTATAAACAAAAGTTCACACACACACACACACACACACACACACACACACACACACCATGTCCTGAAAAAGTAGGATGTTTTTATGCCCTCCCCAGTCTTCAGTGCTTCTTCTTGGTTATATCAGTGGGGTATCTGGTTTTGGCATCTTTCAGATGCATGAACAATGGATAATGGTTCCTGACCTATCAGGTGACCACAAGGGGGCGTGGGATATCTTGCAGTTGCTGCCAAGGTAACCACAAAAGGTAAGGTGGAGTCATTTCTTGCTTCAGAGATTCAAAAGCAGATTGGGAATGTCCTACCTGGATCACTCCTTTCAGCAAAGGCCACTATGTGGATCCCGTTCAAATCGTCTTCCTGTGAAAGGAAAAAATCAAAGGTCACACTCCCAGCTGCAAGGGAGTGCAGCCAGCCTGAATGGACACAGGAGGAAGAGGATGGTGGGCAGGGCCACACAGAGCGACACTCACAGGAGAAAATGGAATGCTGGTAGGCAGCTGGGAGGGAACATGGCATTTGATAAATGAGTCTGTGAGACAGGAAAACAGTAAGAACACACCAGACATTAAGGTCGGTCCAGGAGAGTGCAGTGAAAGACAATGAAGAAGCTCATCATGAGCTCTAGGGACCCTGAAAGTAGCCCAGCTAATACAAGGGGTTGTTCCACTGCCCAAGAATATCCGCGATGCATCCATGCATCCACTTACTTTAAAAGACCCCCCCTCCCCGGCCCAAGTAGTGATGGAGGCGGGCATGGAGGCAGAGCAATTCTCCTGCTCTTCTTGCTGACCTGAAGCTTCAGTTCTTGGTCCTGGGCACACGGATCAGGAGGTGATGTGGTCCCCTGGGTCACACCCTGTGTGTAGAAGGGCCTTACACTGACCCAGGAAGAATGCTGTCAATCCACTAGCATTCTATATTGTTCTGTGTCTCCCAGAACAGTCTGTGCTCTACCTCTTAGAGCTCTCTCCCATGCCCAGGGATGCACCCAATGATGGGAACTTCTGAATCTTGCTCACAGATCAGGAAATCTAGCAGGGAGGAAGTAAACTAGGTCATGGGTGCGTTGTGCTCTCACACAAACAAGGTGCTCTATGCCAACCCTTCCCCTTGAAGACACAGATGTTGCCGTGGAAGGTGGGGGCGTCACTTGCAGGTGGTTCTCCAGTTGGGTGTGGAAGGTCTCCTCTCTGGAACCCAATAAGGCTCTAAAAGCATATGTATGGGGCCAGAGTGATAGTAGAGCAGGTAGGGTGCTTGCCTTGCACACAGCTGACCCAAGGGCACTTGCCTTGCACACAACTGATCCAAGTTCAATCCCCAGTATCCCATATGATCCCCTGAGCACCGCCAGGAATAATTTCTGAGTGCAGAGCCAGGAGTAACCCCTGGATGTGGCCCCATACAAACAGAAAACATGTGTCTATAAGGAGGGTTCCAGGGGCTCAGGAAAGTCACAGGCAAGGGGTATCCCAAGTTTCTATGTCCTAGGCACCATGGATCACTTGCTCACATCTTTGCTTTGAATTTTCCTGAGGAAGGAGGATTGAGAATTTGGAAGGGCTTCTTTCTGCTAGTAGAAACATGGTCCTCAGAAGACTTGGAGAGGCTGGAATGTGAGAACAAAGCACCCAGGACAAAGCTTGGCTATTGCTGATGAGAGAGGGAGGCTTTGGGTCTCCTGAATGTCGTGGCAGAATCATTCTATGGGAAAGAAAACGGCAGGCAACTCAACTGCTCTTGATCCCTGTTTCCATTTCAATTGATTTTAATGCTGGTGCAATCCTATCTAAATGCTAATTTCTTCCCCCTTTTGAGTTTGGAAGGGACAAAACCCTCCCAAAATTCTAGCAGAGATTAAATGGAAAATATTATTTTAGAAAAAAAAACAAGAGTGGGCATCGCCTCCATCCAATTCACCAAGGAATTGAATTTCGCGTGTGTGTGTGCACGTGCATGCATGTGCACACACATAGGTGAGCAGGTTCATTACACAAACCCGACAATCAGCATAAGGGCTGTCTGTGGTCTGACTGTTGGACTTTCACTGTTATCGCCAAGCAGACTATGGGCGTCAGTTCTCATTAGGTGGCCCGTGCCGCTGTCTCCTGACATCAGCAGGAAATGCGAGGCATCAACTCCGAAACAAGCTTCATTTCTGGGTGCCCTTCGAGAATGTACTTGGGAATTGGTTTTAGAATTAAGAATCCATATTCATTTTCTGAAAGGCAGCTCCACACTCTGGCTGTCACTCTATGGAGCTGAGATGGTCCCTGGATCAAGTGCCCTGACTAGGGAAGAGCCTCTTGTTTGGGAGTGGGGAGGGGGGGGGTGTCCAAGATTCATCTCACCTGCCTCAATGCCTGCGGTTTTCAGGAATAAACACACAAAGTCCCCATCTCCAGTCCATACACCAGGACCCCTCAGAAACTTTTAGTGTGCAGTGCCCAGAGAGCTTCCCAGAGCTGAGCCCACTACCTTTATTGCTACACCACCTATTTATTCTTTACATCTCTGTTGCCTAGGAAATAATCTTGTTAATTGCAGGATCTTCCTTTTTAGCTGGTGGAAGGGATTTTTGCCTTACCCAAACAAGGACTACAATGAAAACAATCATTGCTGCAACTTGTCCTTTTTGAACCAGTACTTTGTAAGTGCAATATTTCTTCTAAACCTCAAATGACAATTTCTCTTTTTTTTTCTTATCTTCTTTATTTTTTTTTCTTCTCTTGGGTCACACCAGCAATGCTCAGGTGTTACTCCTGGCTCTGCACTCAGGAATTACCCCTTGTGGTACATGGGGAACCACACAGGATGCTCAGGATCAAACCCAGGTTGACCACATGCAAGGCAAGTGTCCTACTTGCTATACTATCCTTCCAGCCCTAAGCAAATGACTGTTATCCCTATTTCCTACTTAACAATTATTGCTAGTGATGTGTTAAGGGCGCAAAGTTAGGACAGGTTCAGATTTGAGCCTGTTCTGCTGGACTCCAAAACCCAAGCCCACTTTCTCACCAAAGAGGAGTCAGGGTCGACCATGGAGGGCTAGGTGGTACTGAGGACACTTACTGTCCCAAAGTCCCTTAACTGGCTAAAAGCTACCTCTCCCTCGAGAACTCAATTATAAACCTCTCTCCTGGAGCAAGCTAATTGCCTCTTCACAGACAGGAATTGTCCCAAAATGATCATAACTCCCATCTACTCTCTGAAGGGCCCATTTATCTTTTCTAAAAGTCACTTGTTTCTTGTTTCCCTCAGTGCTTCACCCCAGTAAGAGTCCCTATTTTAGTCCTTACTTTGGTCCTGAGTTCCTATTTTGGTATGTGAATGCCCAGGAATTAGTGGGTCCTGGGGGCTTTTTCTCATGCTAATCTGCCTGCCATGAAATTCAGGCTTTCGGGGGTATGGTGCCCCCAGCAGGTCAATCTGTACCTGTGAGGCGAGTGCATCAGCAGCCTGATGACACCTTCAGACTTCCAGATACCCCAAAATTGCTGCTGTGCCTTTGGCCAAATTCCAAAAACTTGGGGCAAAGTTTATCAAGAAAGTAAATGGCCAAAAGTTAGGTATGTGGGAGACACACCCACAAACCACCTCCGGCTCAGCTATATAATTGGAGGCATGGCCTCTCTGGTTCCTGATTGAACTGCTTAACGGCCATGATCCCAGAGACTCAGAAACAAATCTCGAAACCCAGCGCCTTTTGGCAGAAATGCGTCCAATCCCTGCAGTAGGTTACCGGTGCTGGGCTAACCCAGGTGGGAATAGGTTTTGTGCCTTGGCCTGTTCCCCCTGGCGGCCCGGTGGCCGCCATTCTCCAGGGGCCACTGGACAATCAGGTTTGGGCCTGCAGTGAAGAGACATTTTGGGTCTCACAGGATGGGGGTGGAGCCGGTCCTGTCCTCCCCGTCCCAATGAGACCCCAAGTCATCGCCCACGAACGGCCTCTCTGGCTCCTGATCAAGCTGCTTAACGGCCATGATCCCAGAGACTCAAACAAATCTCAAAATCCAGCGGCTTTTGGCATAATGCATCCGGAACCCGCAGTAGGTTACTGTCGCTGGGCCACCCCAGGGAGGAAAGGGTGTTATCCCTCCACCTGCTTCCCCCAGGCAGCTCGATGGCCGCCATCCTCCAGAGGCCACTGGACAGTCAGGTTTGGGCCCGCAGTGACGAGACATTTTGGGCCTCACAGGATGGGGGTTGAGCCGGTCCTGTCCTCCTCACCCCAACGAGACCCCAAGTCATCGCCCACGAACAGCCTTTCTGGCTCCTGATAAAGCTGCTTAATAGCCTTGATCCCAGAGACTCAGGAGCAAATCTCGGAACCCAGCAGGTTTGGGCAGAAATCCCTCCAGATTTAAGTGTTAAAATTTTGGAATTTCAAAATCGCACGGTCACTACTGCAGCCACGCGACATCATATGTTATTCATAACCAGCAATAGAGAGCAAATTGTCTACTGTTGCCTTTTCAGCAGATCTGAGTGTTGGGGTAAAATCTCAAATAATAATGGTGGGTCTGGTGTTAAAATATTGAATGTGATCAAAGTAGAGAGAGAGTAATGTGGAAATCATCTGCCCGACAGGTAGGGGGAGGGTCTGGGATGGGGGTATACTGGGTTGTTGGGGGTGGAGAATGGGCACTGGTGAAGGTATAGGTGTTTCATTGTATGACCGAGACTTAAACCCAAAAGCTTTGTAACTGCTCTCACGGTGATTCAATAAATAAAATTCTAAAAAATAAAAAAAAGTAAGGTGGAGTTCATACACAATTCAATCAGCTAAGCAGTGGCTTAATAAATAGCAGTACTCCTACGTTAAAAAAAATTCAGGCTTTCAGTCCTACATGTCTTGAGAGGACAGAGGAAACTTTTCCTCTAGACATCACCCACAGTGGCAGAATGGATGGTCCATTACCAGATTCATCTGCAGAGTCTGGACACTGGCTTTTAAGTGGAAATAAACTAGAAGGATCCTTCCTATTAAATGATTGCAGAGCAACAGAGATGTGGGCATTGCTGAGTAATGTATTGTCCATCCCGAACACCACGTGTGTTCCTCTGCCCTGAGCAGTATGCACGTGGGCTGAGGGTTTGCACTATGAGATGTTCGCAGCTCCCCAGACCTGAATGCCCAAGGACAGGATATCACTGCACATTTTTATGATCTCCATTTGTAGCACAATATAACAGTTCTTTTTTTACTTCTTAAGATGTTTTAAAAAAGGGAATTATGCAATAAAAAAATCTTACACTTAAGAAAATTGCAAGATGTTTCAATTTTGTCAGAGCAACACCGGTCACAGTGACATAGTGTACTTCGCTTCCTTCAGTCTCTCTTGAATGCTTTCTCTCTGGTGGATTGAGAGGTGCAAAGGGGAAATGGTGTTAAAACTATCAAAGTCCCTGGTGCAAAGCAAAAGATGCAAAGATGCAAAGAAAATAAAATGTTAAAGCTAACCAAACTCCTAGGGGCTCAGCTGGCTGCTCCTTGCCACCTTTTGGAGTTACCTTTTGGAGTTCAGGCTACTGCAAGAGAGAAAAGATTCTTTTAGACTCCCAGACTTCTTTCTAGACTTCAGACTGATGACTGGTCAGACTGGGTAGCTGGCTGCCCCTCCTCATCCTCACCATGGTTGGATACTCTAAATTTTACAAATGCACAGCTACCTGATTTATGGGGAATATTTTATTACTGTGTGTATTCAGGGGAGAAGGGCTGGACCACACCTGGGGTGCTCAGGGCTTACTCCTGGGTCTGTGCTCAGGAATCACTCCTGACAATGCTTGGGGAGGCATACAGGCCAATAGGATCAACCCTGGCTAGCTGTGTACAAGGCAAGCGCCCTACCCACTGGACTCTCTCTCTGGTTTCCTATGTACCATTTTTTAGTAATCACACTCTTCACTTCCTATGATTTCCTACCTTAAAAACCTGCACAGTTGGGGAGTTACCTTAGACCAAACTAGCTTTCCTATCTTAATAAAATATTTTGTAATGCCTAGGAATGCAGGTGTTAAAGACATCTACATTCATTAACTGGTCACTTAACCCAATATTTGTGGTTTGATTAGCTGTGACCTAGTGGCCCAGGAGACTTTTGGTAGTGGCTATGCTTGTATGAGGAGGGAACCAGGGAAGTGGTTCCCCAGAGATCTTTCTGAAATATTGATATCTTCTGCTATTTGTTAGTTTTAGGGCCACACCTGGGATGCTTTCGGGATACTCCTGCCTTGGTGTGCAGGAGCTGCTCCTGGTTCTTTTTTTTTTTTTTGCTTTTTGGGTCACACCCCCCGATGCACAGGGGTTACTCCTGGCTCTGCACTCAGGAGTCACTCCTGGCGGTGCTCACGGGACCATATGGGATGCTGGGAATCAAACCCAGGTTGGTCGCGTGCAAGGCAAACGCCCTGCCCGCTGTGCTATCTCTCCAGCCCCGCTGCTCCTGGTTCTGCTCTAGGGACCATGCAGTGGCCGGAATCAAACCCAGGACAGTCTATTGAGTCATCTCCTTAGCCCTTCTCTATTTTTTTCAAGGATGCAAAATAAAAAAAAAAAATCCTTGAAAGTTTGTCCTAGCGCCTTCTCTAGAAAGAGACTAAATTTGGCCAGGCTTGATGAGGATTTCCAGGGCCGTTCTATGGTGATTTCATGGTAGGGGACTGGAAAGGAATAAACCAGTATAGCTGTTCTATTTTCTACCTGGTGAGATTCAATATATAGTCTTGCCCCGATAAGAAAACAAAATATAATCTGTAGCACTATAGCACTGTCCTCCCGTTGTTCACCAGTAACGTCTCTATTGTGAGACATGTTACTGTGTTTGGCATATAGAATATGTCACAGGTAGCTTGCCAGACTTTGCCGTACGGGCGAGATACTCTCGGTAGCTTGCCAGGCTCTCTGAGAGGGGCAGAGGAATCAAACCCAGCTCAGCCGGGTTGGTGGCGCATGAGGCAAATGCCCTACCGCTGTGCTATCTGCTCCAGCCCTAATGTTGTGAAAAATATGAGTCCTCACTATTAATTTATATTATAGCAAAGGGTTGTAACTTATACATTATGTGAAAAGAAAGCAAAAAATTAATTCTGATGAAACCAGAGAGCAAACTTTCTTTCTGAAGCTCTGCTTTGGATCTGGCTGGAGAAAGCCTCCCTGCAGGGCAGAGTTCAGAGGACAGGACACAGGCTGGTTGCCTCTGGAAAGTGACGGTCCTGACTGTGGTCCTGCTAGGCTGCTGAGACAAGTCCTGAGAAACAGTTTCTACATTTGCACAGTCTCTCCCTTTCTGAAGCCAAATAACTAAGTCTTAGCTCTTGGGATACAGAAAAAAAAAATGGGATGAAGGTATAACCGATCAGAACTGTAATAATCACTCTCAACTTTAAAAAGTATTTTGTCTCATGAAAGGCAAATAAAGACCAAAAAATTGCTGTTTCAAGGCTAATAAAGAAATATATCCAAATGGGAGTTAGAGTGATAGTACGGGGGTTAAGGTGCTGGCTTGGCATGCTGCCGACCCCGTTCCATTCACAGCACCACATGGTCCTCTGAGCATCATCTGGTGGCTTGGGTAATGTCCGGCATCACAGCGGACCAAGCATAACAGCTTCCTCTGGGCCCTTGTATTGACCAGCTGGACCGGTTGGCTGAGAGTGCAGCTTCTGGGACTGTTGAGAACTGACCTACATCCCAAGAAGTCATCACTTTTCAACTGCTGCCACATAATTTTATTACTTTTAATAATAATATTTTTAAAGGTTAAGGTTTTTGGGTTGGTTTTATTTACTTATTTTTTTTATTTGGGGATCACACCCAGAGGTGCTTAGGGGTTACTTCTGCCTCTGCATTCAAGAATCACTTCTGGTGGTGTTCAGGGGGGACATAAGGGATGCCTGGGATTGAATCTGGGAAGGCCATGTGCAAGGCAAACGCCCCGTCCACCGTACTATTACTCCAGATATGTTTTATTGCACTGGTTATTCCCAAATATTCCAGCCCTCCATACAGGATTATTTTCCCTCGAGTGTCTTATGAAATATTTATTCTTTTCCACACATCCAAATAAGCACATTCCAGTAAAAACTTGGTTTTTTCATCTGCTACTTTAGTCTGAAGTGAGGAATGAAAAAGTAAACAATGCTTCCGTGTTAATTACTTTCTCTCCTCCCCACACTGCCAACACTGTGTGGCCATGTCACATGGTGTCACGAGTAAGAGGACATGATCCACTTCAAAAAGAGAGGGAATATGAGAAAGTACTGGAAAGGATATAAAACTTAACTGTAGATAGTTTAAATCTAATATCTATCAATTATGTTTAGATCTAGTGGCTTGTTAAGTTTCGTTGAATAATTAGCTTAATCCATATCACCATCAGTTTCCCCAAGTAAAATGGTTCTAAGATAACCTTTGTTCTACATCACTTCTAGAACTGCTAAAAGATCCGAGTAAAAGAGTAATTAAACACTTTGAAGAAACCCCACAGAATCTTAATAGAATTTCCTAAAACATGAAGATGGAGTTCAGTTGCAAATCTAAGGCCCTTTTTTTCTGTAGGATTTGACCCATTTAACATATTATCTATGACTCAGATAGATAAACTAGGGCACAATGCAATGCAATATATTCTAGTATTTTGTTTTGATAATCATATCCCAAAAGAGTTGTTAACTAAGCTATCTGCTATGTTTTGGACTCATTATACTATTCATCCTAACAATGCACCTTCCCCTCCCATTTTAATATTGAAACTAAAGTATACAGTTAACCACAAGACTTGAAGTAGGATGCAAAGATACTAGGTGGTAGGTAGATCCTGGATTGAAAACCAAGTGTCTATAAAGCTATAGCCTAAGCGATTCCCACCTCATCACCTTTAGTCTCTGGTGATCGATGAATGAAAACCAGGATATGAGCTTAGAGATAGAGTAATGTTTCCTGGTGGGTAATACCAAAGAGCCTTAAATTAGATTCATGGAGGACTGGTTGGAATTGAGTGTGACACCATGTTTCAAATACTCTACCATACACATGATCACTTTAGTCAAATGAGTCTTGGTCTGAGTTTTGGAATTCAAAAGATACTCCTCTTGGAAGTCTATATCAGGTGTCTATAAAGCAGATACCATATGAAACTATCTTACCCATGTTTCAAACATGTCTTCTGGGCGCAGACGGCGTAGGGTGGGTCTGTGGGGGAAGAGGGGAGGGGGAAAGAGTTTGCTTGAGTAAGAATGACAGACATTCAGCATCAACACAGTGAATATAAAATGATGAGCTGATTCATCTCAAGAGCACGGCAAGCTCTAGAAACCTGCTTTTCTCTTTAAGATCATGGGGAAGATCTACCTTATTCTGTAATGCAGAGAACTGTGACAAAAGCTCCCAGTTCATGCACCCATTCCATCTAAGGATTATGAAGACTAAAATAAACAATGGCTCAGAGAGTACATGTCAAGGTAAGCTAATTCCCAGGCCAAGAAGCCTTGGCATCCTCTGGACACCACTCCTGAAAACTTGCACAGGCTCACCCAGAAGGAGGGGACCTTAAAGAAAAAAACAGCAAGCTCAGAGAGAGTGCTTAAGAGACCAAAGGCTTGCCTTGTATGTTGGAGGCCTGAGGTTCGATTCCCGAGACCCTCTTAAGAATGACCATGAGCAGAAAACCAAGAGTAGCTCTGACCCCCCAAACCAAATCAAGCTAACAAAGAAAATCCAAACTCAGTTTTCCCAGCCTAGAACTGAAGTTGTTTTATCATCAAGGTGATCCATCCAAAGCCCTTCAGGGATGTTTGGAAGAGTAGGTGGGATGTTTGCTCCTGGCTTCATTTCTTTCTGAATGTTGGCCAACTAGGCATGTTGCTACCCAGCTCAAGCTACTGTTGGGAATATCGCATTTTCCTCTCCAAGGAGTTCTGTATATGGAATGCTGACTTGCAGCTCAAGTATTTAACTACTCTGAGCTCAAGTCCTTAGTATGTAAGATTACGAGTGCTAGTAGCAGTTACCCAATGATGTTCATCAGAGCAAATCATGTTCATAATAAGCATCAATATGGCTCTTTAGGAGTTGCCACTAAATCACAATCCTGGCTGTGGCTTCCTCTCTGCCTTTGGGCAGAAGTGCTGGCCAGGAGGTGGTGGCTCCACTTTGTGTGAATCTACAGAGACCCTTGTTCAGAAAATGAAGCTGCCTAAGTAATCACCACCACTCTCATGTTTTCCTTTAGTTTTTTTGTTTGTTTGTTTTTGTTTTGGGACCAAACCCAGCAATACTCAGTGGTTGCCCTGGGCACTGCACTCAGGAATCACTGCTGACGGTCTTGGGGGGCCATATAAATTGTTGGGGATTGAACCTGAGTTGGCCTCATGAAAGGCAAATGCCCTACCTGCCATACTATCATTCTGGCCCCATTCTCCAATTCTGTTGGGTGAGTCATTCCTAGGGCCCGTTCTTGGGGGTCTACAATGTCAGAACCACGAGGCCTATCTCCAGCCCCCCACCCCCACCCCATGGTGCCCCAATCCATGCATGCCATCCAAGATACCTTTGGTGCTCCTTCACAAACTCCACTAGTTCCTCTTCTGTGTGAGGCTTGTCAGGTACTGCAATGGGCTCATCCATAAATGGCTCATAGAAATCCACCTCATTCATTTTCAACGACAATTTCTTTGCAACCTGAAACGTTGGAAATACGGTGATTATTCCCTCAAATATTGTTCTAGATTGGGGGTTCTCAAATATTTTCCACTCAGAGACACATTTGCACCCAAGAAATACAAGATGGGGATCATTGCCAAAACACCTCGGATTCATGGGTTGACTTTGAATTCATTTCTGGTCACTGCATATTCAGAAACATTCTACTACTGACAAATTTTTGGTGACCCTCCACATTCAGACACACAATCCCTTATGGAATCTTGACCCTAGTTTAAGAAACTACGGCCTAGAGTAGCTCAGGTCTAGAGTGACAGTGGATTGGCCATCTATGAGGCAGTGTGCTCTCTGGAGCATTGTAGCACTATAGCACTGACTATAGCACTGTCCTCCCATTGTTCATCTATTTGCTCAAGCGGGCACCAGTAACATCTCCATTGTGAGATTTCTTGTTATTTTTTTTTTGGCATGTTGAATACGCCACGGGGAGCTTGCCAGGCTCTCCCATGTGGGCGGGATACTCTCGGTAGCTTGCTGGGCTCTCCGAAAGGGACAGAGGAATCAAACCCAGGTCAGCAGTGTGCAAGGCAAGCACCCCACCCGCTGTGCTATCACCCCTGTGCTCTCTGGAGAAAATAAGAAATTATATATAAAGCTTTAAAGGCCGAAATGATGTGGATTGACCCATAAGATGGTGTGGGGAGACGTTAGTCTGCCAAGGGCTGTTTGGATATTTATAAGAACATTCCCAGGTCACACAATCTAGGCTGACAAGGTTCCATTAGTGTCTGACCTGTGGTGAATTAAGGCCAGTCAGTCCACATGGTTTCTTAGGCCTTATACACCCCACGGACCAGATGTTCCTCACTTTTGATAAAATGTGAGTGTACTGATCATTTTTTTTTTACCATCAAAGGACAGAGAGGGAGAGAGGGAAAAAAAACTTCTTGGCAAATGAAAACATGAGCAGCAGGTGGAAGCAGCCAGAGTGAGAAGCAGGTCTTGGAGTCTGATGGTCTCTGTCATCCCACTGCATCTGCCAAGGCTGGAGGAGGTGGCAATATCAGTAGAGCATGCTCAGCATCCTGAGATGTGTAGATTTAATTGTACTAATTGTGACAGAACAGGCACTTGGGAAAACCACTCAAAGCGTGGGGGAAGGGGGAGCACTGGGACTCAAAAAGAGAAGTGGAGCCATTTATCTACCCCTGATCAGCCCACACTCTGATTGCTTCTTAGGCTGAAACACTACGAACAGGAACAGTACTAGGGCCTGTCTTGGGGTAGGGATGGGGTGTCAGTCACTCCCTGTTCTGTCCCTCCTTGGTGTTGAGCCAACCTGTGGGGAGATCCGTGAGGCTGGACCTGGACTCTGAGCTGAAGCTGGCCCCCTCCCCCACTCTGGAATCTGCCCTGGGCGGGAAGAAACCTCCCTGGATTGAAGTGGCCCCTGCAGCGGCAGAAGGATCGCTGTGGTGCCTGCGCCCAGAGCCCCCCTTTGTGAAACCACTGGGGAGGCCTGGAATGGGCAGCGCTGGGGCAAGACAGCCCAGGGGTGCACAGTGGCAGCCTTGCAGCCAAGAGGAGTCGCCCAAAGCTGGGGCCTGCTGGGGCGACCAGCTCAGGGGCCTGGCTAACTGGGAGGAGCTACTCAAGGAGGCCCTGTCTGGGAGACACCTTCTCTTCCGGGGATGCTAGTCCGGGCGCTCCACTCCTGATAGGACTTAAGGAAGAAAAATCTAAATCTCTAGCACCCTTCTCAGAGATCGTATTAAGGACAATAGTCAATCAAGGGAGATTTTAGTCCTTCTGACTTAGTTTTAAGTTTCAGGGAGGTGTGAATTTTTTGTCCCCCCTCTTTCTCCTCTCCTCTCCTCTCCTCTCCTCTCCTCCCCTCCCCTCCCCTCCCCTCCCCTCCCCTCCCCTCCCCTCCCTTCCCCTCTCCTCTCCTCTTCTCTTCTCTGTCTCAGTCTCTCTGTGTCTCTGAGTTTTTTAAAATCATTTTAAAAATGATTCTGGGTTTCTTGTTGAGTTCTATTATTTAATTTTATAAGAACCAGGAAGATGGACTATTCTATGAAGTAAGAAATGGCCAGATGAACAGATGAATAAAAATAGAAATAATAGCAAGCCCAAGAGGGTTTACTGTATTTGCTATTATTTATATTTGCAACATGCAAAATATTCTGGGTTAATTGCTTCAGGAATTCTTGCTTCACTTGCATGAGGAGAGAACATCCCTATTTTACAAGCAATGAACCTAAGGCCAGATTCGAGTATATGGTATGTCAAGATCATATTCCTAGATGGGACAACCTGAATTCACTCTTGGGCAATGAGATGTTCTAAATAACCTATTTGTCTCCATTCCTATGTTACTTTTATTCGAAAAATACCGTCTCCTTTACACTGTTAAGAAAGAAATATATGTCCCTATAAACATCATGCTGGTACTGCACATATTTCCTGGTTCCTCTTGTGATAGAATAGCCAACTAAAACAGACTTCCTGGGGCAGAGCTCAGAGATCATTCCTGGTGGATGATCTCATATATGGTGCTAGGCATCAAATCTGGGTCAGTGCCATGTAGGACAAGCACCTAGTGCTGTGCTCTCTCTCTCTCTCTCTCTCTCTCTCTCTCTCTCTCTCTCTCTCTCTCTCTCTCTCTCTCTCTCCCTCTCTGTCTAAATACTAAGACTATGAATGTGAAGTTGGACTGTAACAGCCTGAAGTGTTGGTCACCCCAAATAAAATTCCCCTTACTGTCTTCCTAAAAGCACAATGAAGTGCTCCCATCTTGCCTCTTGGAAAATCTCTTCCTCTCTTTGTTTTTATTGTATCTTGGGTAGTAAGGGCTAAGGAGATTTGATTGAGTGAGGGATTGATCATCCACTTATTCAATAATTACTTAATAAATACAGTAGTGTAACCTTATCCAAATTACTGTTCTGGAACCAGACCAGGTTCATGGGTGTAGGAAAAGATTTTACTAGCAAAAACTGAACAGGTCCAGGCAATGAGTTACTTCATGCCTTACAAAAGAACAATGAAAATAGGTTTTGCCAAGGACTTTTCTTGCCAAGTCAAAAGAACTGCAGACTACACAGTCTATTTTGTCTCCCATTTGCATATGTACGAATTTTGATACAAGTGTTCTACAAGTTAGCAAGTCATTTCAGTCTTGTCAAATGAAATCAGCTCAGTGGATTTAGACCTTCTCAATGCTTCTCCTTTCCATCAAGTGTTAGTCAGAGAGCAGTAGAGGGGAAATTCGAATTGACATTTCTGCTGCAGTCTAATCTCCCTCTCTAGCCCTCTTTTTTCCTAGTTGTTCCGAAACACTGGCCTCCCATGAAGCCTGATTTAAGAATCAGGACCCACGCGATGGTGTTAGTGCCAAGTCTATGCCAATAAGAATCTTTCCAGCTCATTGAGTACGCAATATCTTGGGTTCTACCAGAATTCTAAAATATTCCAAAAACCTCCTGATTGGAAACCAATATGAGCAATGGCTGGAAATACAGATGCCTAAGTCTATATCAGCACTCTATTGTTTCTTTCTCTTTATCATTATCCAACTCATACATTGATTTTTTTGCTTCCCTGTTTTCCTTCTGTCTTCTCATATTTTCACCCCTTCTCCCCCATTAAATTAAATTATACAAGGGCAGGAACCTGGACTTTCTTGATAGTTTCTCCCTGATACGGGGAAGAATGGTTAGAATGAGTGAAATTCTAGGTAAGTCTTTCCAACTTACAGCTCTTCACTGCATCTTCTGCTCGATAGCTTCTTCCTGAATGCCCTAATATTTTCAGTAGAATCCAATCTATGCTGTCTTAGATGGTCTGAGACTTTTATTCTGTTATTCCTGAGCCTTCTCTCATCCTTCTCACCTTTCAGCTCGTTACTGAGCTCCCGTGTCATCTCAATCCCTGCTGGTGGATGTTTTCCCATTTTGGGGTTTTCTTACCTCCTGATAGTCCCCATTTCAAACCTCTTCAAAACACCTCCCCTTCTCCAGGCTACTCCCGGACTCTCTGGTGCGTCATGCCTCCCACCTCTTCTACTCTAGCACCCCCTGCTGGACACCATTAGGTGTCTTCTGAATGCCGTCCTGCCTGTCATCTCCAGAGGGCACAACCCCTTCTCCAACTGATGGCTGCAAGTTTCTAAGTTCTAAGTGAGTTTTCTTAAGGGGGACTGCTCTTGCTCCACACAGAGATAGTGTCTTTGTCTCTTTCAATGCCCTGAAATCCTACAGTAAGCAGGACTACCTATGACTCAGCATAAGCTTATAACCCAACTTCATCTTCTTGATGTGACACTGGTACAATTGGTCTAGGAGGCATGTGTGTGGACAGACATTACGGCTAACTCGGCAATAGACCATCCTACCAAGAGCTAATGCTTTACTGCATCATGCGGCTTGTCTGCCTGACTCAGATGAGTTCCTGCCCAAGAGCCACCTGAGTCACCTCTGTCCATAACTATCAAACATCAGTTTCAGGTTCACTGTATCTCCTTTCCTGTGTCTCCTCTTCCCTGCTGACACCCGCCACCCCTGCCACCTTCCAGGCTTAAAGGCTGAGTTTGTTAACACAGTTGTGGCTTATTCACATTCAGTCAATACTCCTAGTGTGCTTGATGCAGGCTGAGTCTTTTACATATATTGACACAGAGCCCTGACTTTGAAGTCAGGCTGACCTGAGATTATTTCAGGCTTCACTGGTCACTAATTATATGAGTTGTTACCTAGTCTCTTGGTATCTGCATTTCACTTTATATAGACTGAGAATGTTAATTCATTCTTTATGGAGTGTTGAAAAGATTCACTGGGGAAAAAAACAACATGTATTTATCTTTGTGCAGGGACCCTGGAGATGCTCAGTGGCTAAAGACTCATGAGACCTTGAGTTTGATTTCTAGTGCTTTCCACATGTGTCTGCTTTGCAGCTGAGACCCCTGGCTCACAGGAAACCCAACCAGGTGTGTACAAGTGTAGCAGCTGGGATGTGTGAGCTCTGGAAAACTCTGCAGCTATAGAGTATGTCAGCTTGGAGGTTTGGAGTGTCACCCCTTGTGAGCATGTGTGTGAATGGCACAATGAGCCCTGGCGACAAAAGAACAGACTGGTCTGAGTGAGCACATAGTGAATGAGTGTGACCCCCCCCCCCCCAGCACTGCTTGACCCTGCAATGAATGAGTATGCGCCCCTGAGTCAGAGCCATAGGGCAAGCAGAGAAGGCACTTGCCTCGCATACTGATGACCTGGATTCTATCCCTAGCATCTCATATGGTTCCCCAAGGCCCTGTGGGAGTTAGCTCTGTGTGCAGAGCCAGGAATAAGCCCTGAGCACCAGTGGGTGTGGCCCCTCCAAACAAAAGCAAAATAGAATATTCCCCCCTTGAGAACGGAGTGTGAGCACCAAACTGGATGTGCAAGCTCTGGCAAAAAGCACCATCAGCTGTATCAGACTCCCAGTAATGGACACAATATCAGCAACAGAAGAAAGCAAAGTGGAAAATCTCTTAGTACAATGTCTGGTGCACTGAGTGCTTATTGTAAGTAATAGTTTCTATTCTTTTGGGAATTCTTCTTTGGAAGGCTCACACTTGGAGGTGCTCAAGGGCTACCTGCAGCTCATTCAATGGTCAAGGATCTCTCCAGTGGTGCTCAGGGGCCATCTGACAGTGAGGACTGATGCTGGGCTTCCTGCATGCACTCCAACCCACTGACTGAGCTATCACATCAGCCCTCTTTATGGTATTCTGGCTTTGTACTTTTTTTTTTTTTTTTACTGATTGAGGTTCTATGTTCATCAATGCACTTAGTACAATAGCCAAGATATGGAAACAACCCAAATGTTCAACTATGAATGAATGGATCTTTTTGATATTCTTGCTCAAGATCTTTCCCTACTTTAATCCAAGTAATTTAGAAAACCTCCTTTAGAATATAGATATCTCTTCTACATTAGAGTCTTCCATGGGGTCCGGGGGGAGATTCACATCCATGGAAGTGTTTCAGATATCCATGGAGAGATGCAATCTCATTTCATCATACTTCTTCCTACTTCAGAACCACAGACATCCTGTTTGTTTTCCCACAAATAATTGGACTCATGATAAAGACGCCATGGGTGCCCATCACACCACTCTTTCCTCTCCTAGACCTCTCTTCAGTTTTTACTTAAATTTGCTCAAGACTCAGTCTTTCCTAAACTTATTTATTCCAGCAAATAAGGTGATTTGGGACTTATAAATTGCTATCTAGGAGGTATTATATGTATGTGGTTGGGAGGATATGCAAGGAGTTGTATGCATGATATTTACGTATGGTGTGACATTGGTGTGTAATGCCGGTGTAATTTTTAGCTGATCATGCTACCGTACCCTCTGAATTTTAAAGGCAGGTCCAGAGTCTCTACTTAACTGTAAGTGACAGAGGAAAGGGCATGATTTGGGACATAGGTTGTCCTAATTGGGACCTCAGCACTATGATGAACAATCTGGAGACCTCGGATGTTTCTTACCCTTTGCAAATATTTTGTTTTATCTATGAAGTGGGAGTTGTTTAAAGGATTAGAGATAAAAATAAATCCTGTCTATTGAATAATATCCATCACACATTGGCCATTGATAACTATTTTAATAGTAACTATTATCAGAGTGGAGTGCACTGACCACAAAGACTCCACATCAACCAAACATTGATTCAAGGTCCCTTTATGGCTACTTCTTTTTGGAGTATAAATGTGCTTGCCACATCCAGCAAAAAGAGATACACCACATGACACACCAATGTCACACGATATATAAATATCATACATACAACTCCTTGCATATTCTCCCACTCACATACATATAACACTTTCAATATAGCAATTAAAAAGTCCCAAATCACTTTATTTGCTGGAACAAATAAGTTTAGGAAAAACTTGAGCAAATTTAAGCAAAAACTGAAGCAAATAGAGAGCAATTGAATATAAATAAGAAAACATTGATGGTTCCTAGAGATGTAACTAACTTTTGGAAACATCTGAAGCTTCCCAAGATCAGTGCTACTCACATCCCGTATCCTTTATCCTAACCTACTAGCAAGGGAAGTGTTTAAGCCAGAGTGAGAGGATTACTTTCCCAAGAAAACAGCAACTGAGACAGTGTCCTAGCCTACTCGGTGCTCACACTCTGCTCTTGTCTTAGGTGACTGAGGGGCTATGATGCTGAGATTAACACTGTAGCACTGTCCTCCGTTGTTCATCGATTTGCTCGAGCAGGCATCAGTAGTGTCTCACAAAAAAATTGTGAGACTTGTTACTGGTTTTGGCATATACAATACATCACGGGTAGCTAGCCAGGCTTTGCCCTGCGGGCGAGATACTCTCAGTAGCTTGCCAGGCTCTCTGAGAGGGGCAGAGGAATCGAACCCAGGTTGGCCGCGTGCAAGGCAAATGCCCTACCCGCTGTGCTATTGCTCCTGCCTGAGATAAGGTGTCAGAAATACTCTTACTCTCTAGATTTTTCTCTCATTCAAACGTGATGCTCTAACACATGTTTGGACTTTGGGGGAAAGTGGTGATGGTTGAGGATGATTAATATTTGTTGATAAAGGAAAATAAAAAATAGTAGTACATCCAAACTTTAATCTGTAATGCCTAGAAAAGTGGTCATTTGAAGAAAAAGCATCCAAGCTTAAATTTAATTAAGAACTTACCCCTTTGTCAAAGGTAGCAAAAAATTTGATGTAAGGCTGGAAGTGTTCAGCTGCTTCTTCAAAAGCCTTGTAATCTAAGAGGAAAGATGAAAAGAAAAGACATTTTAAAGTGGACAAGGAAGACAATTCTATTTTTAGATGATGTAGGCAAAGTAGGATGCAAATTTACCATGACTAGATTATTTATTTAGTGATTTATTTATTTAAGTGTGTCATTTAGTACTAGGTAAATTAGTGGTTTTCTCTGAGAAGTTTGAATTGATGGCATTCATTCATACAAAAGAATTCTTAACACAGATTTTTACATGATTTGGAACTGGTGTATCAAAGGGTGGAAAAGTAAATAAAATTTAAATTTGAACCATATTTGAACCAATTCATCTCAATGCTAGTTCTAAGTGGGTCTTCCATAGAGGATGCAGCTGTGGTGTAGGTGAGTACCACAGCAGAAGGCAGCTCACCTTCCCCAGAACTGGTCTCCAAAATCACAGGAATATTTTAAACTACTCAGTCACGGACTTCTCTTGAGAAGTCCAGTTTTTCTTGAGCTTTTATTCTGGTATTTGAAAAGAAATAAACCTGTGCTTGATCCTGTCCCCAGTATGTGTCCAAACCTGCTAGGAACATGAGGCTACAGGAATGTGTCACTGCTCTAGTCACCTAGGTCTTTCTACACCTAGGTGGCAACTCAGTAAAGAAATTGGTATTAAAGCTAATTGTGACCATAGCACTGGTTATTCTACAGAAAGTCTGTAATCACTAGCCAATAATATTATCGTTCATTCTTAACAAGATAATAAATTGATTTCCTTATCATAGAAAAAAGTATCACTTAGTCATTAAAGGCATAAACTTGAGCTAGAATTTCAAAACCATAAAGAGTGTTCTAATAGTGAATAAAAAACCGGGGTGATAATGGTGCTTTGGGGGACATAAAGAAGAGTAAGATGAATTAGACAAAGGCAGTGAACTCACTGGTTCATGGCATATAATTTAAAGGTTATATATATTCTCTTAAAGAATCACATATGCAGATGAGGATCTATGATCAGTGGTGGAGGTCCTGGCTTTGATTCCACACATTTTGAAAGGACTCAGCATGGAATGTTATGTTTTCTTTGATAGAGATTACACAAATTAGAGATTACACAAATCTATGAGACTCCTGTGCACACTAATAAGCGTTCACATGAATACGATCTCATAAAAAACAAGTGGGTTGTCAGATAATAGATCATATATCCTGAGAGTTGGGTTAGAGAATGGGTGGGTGTGAAGATAATGACTGTGAGATTTGGAGAATGAATAGAAGAAGGAGGGAGAGAATAAAATGTGGAATGGTTAAAGCAATGCCTAAGCTATTTACATTTATCAAAATCAGGGATAGGAAACTTTGATCTGTCAAGAAACATTTTTGGGGCTGGAGAGATAGTAAGCAGGCAGGGTGCTTGCCTTACATGTAGCCAACCAGGGTTCAGTTCACAGCACCTCAAGCATCACCAGGAGTGGTCCCTGAACTCAGAGCTAGGAGTAAGCCCTACTGGCTGTGGCCCAAAATAAACAAAGAGAGAAACATGTGGGGATTTATAAAATTATATAGAAGGATACAACACAGGAAGCCAGTGAGAAACATATATGCCTGTCCAGTCACGTACCAGGGCCAGACCACCCATGGCCATACTGATCTGACCCAAGACCAGAATTTTCTTTCTACAATTCCCTTACCCATATTTTTCCTGATGAATTTTTTCTCACCTTCCTGAACTCCTACCTTGATGGAAAGACTTTCTTAGGGCTTTGTTAGGATAACTTTGTTCTTCTTCAGAGAAACAGCAAATGATTCTCTTAAGATGAGAGTGAAGCAATCCCCCCCCAGCCCCCCGAAGGCTGATGCACTAAAATGTACTACCTAAAGCCTTGTGTTGACCAAAGAGCTTTGACTGTCTTGGATACTTGATTTGGTCTTCTGCTCTATCTAGAGTCCTGATCTCTAAACTTTTTGTGCTTTAAGTCCTGGTCCCTGAGGACCAGCTCCTTCTTAGATCCTTCCAGTTTGAATCTAGTTACCTTGACTCTCTCTGAAAAACAGCTTCCACACAATGTTCAAAAACATCTCACAAGCTATCAAGAAAAGGCTTTTCCCAGACATGACATTTTGGCATATTTCAAGCTAAGTTTAGTTGAGGCCCCGTGGGCTTCAAGAGAAACTGTTACTCTTATCTTAACAACCTAAAAGAATGAAGATTACCTAGACTCAGAGTGAACTCCAGAAATAGCCTTGCTATTGGAAAAATACCGCTCTGTGTGGCAGACCAAACATGTAGTGAGAGAGCACCTGAATTTTCTGAGTCATCTCTTCAGCTCTTAGGAGCACCTCCTCTTTCCCCCCATCCCATTCTTGATGTCCTAGACCCCTATTCCATTCATTAGCTTAAGGATCAAACCCTTTGATATGTCCTGTTAACTTTAGAATTTATAGTCAACAAATTATCAGTACATACATGACACAACTTGTTCTTTTTTAACACACTAACTTGTCTGATAATTTGTTTTCTGGATCAGTCTGTGAAAAACTTAGAGGGGTAAGGGGAATTTTCTCTCTCTGCCCATATTGAACTTCTTTTCCTATATGTAATAGATTCTTCAACAGACAGACTTCCATCTCCAGATAACAGCAGATTTATTTAGTATTCCCTCCACCTTCTTCTCCATCTCTCAAGGTTTCCATTATTGGACAATGGCCCCTTAGTTACATATTATTCCCAATTAATAGTCCTCATACTAGCTGTGTTCTGTCTGTCACATGGTTGTAATCACTATCTTGACATTAGTGTCTATAGCCACATGCTCAAGTTGGATATGAATCTTTGCCTGCAACCTTATTGGAAGCTTCTAGGTTTTTTCAGGTCTCCAGTTTGGTCCTTGGGGTCCTTCTCTCCCGATCTTTATTCTAGTGTTCCTGTGCTTTAAATCCTTCCCATTTCTCCACTGACTATTGTTCTTACTCTATGGAAAAGCATAGTCTCATTTGCAAAGCCAATGCTTTCTGTGCGATTAAACCTTCTTGATCAATCTTCAACTTCAATAAAACCAGGATTCTGAACAACCACTTTTTGGACTCCCTACCTTCTCCTAACTCCCCTCATTCACCGATTGGTCCTCTGTTCTAAGGCACTAAGAAATGTACAACCAGTTGTAGATACCTTGCCACAAACTATGGTGGCTCCTAAACACACAATACTTATCTTAAGGAGAAAATATGTTTAGATGTTTTCTAGCTTAGATGAATACAAATAAATAAAATAAGACAAAAATACAACAACCAACCAATCAACCAAACCAACAAACCATCAAGTGTTTAGCTTTTGTTTCTAAAAAAAACCTACATGCATGTGATCACATCAAAACCATCTTAAAGATTAGTGAGTCAAACTTGGGAAAAAATGTAGCTAATAGTACTATTTAAAAACAAAACAAAAGAAAACTGGAGAGAATGTTCTTGTAATCACAATTTGCCTTGCAAAGAAGCAATTCAAGCTGTTGAAAGAAAGAAGTGCTTGCACATTGCAGATTAGATTTTAGAGCCAATTCCACACTGAGTTCTTTGTGAAAAAATGTCAAAGTCAAGTAATAATGATTCATTTAAAAATCACTTCTATGAACTTTTCTGCAGGTATGAATTTCACAAAAAAAATTATTATGAAAAAGATAATGCCCTTCAACCTTCCCCTTTATGTTTTAGATTTAAAAAAGGTGTTCCGCTACTTCAGGAAAGAGGTAGACATAGAAAGATTACATTCATCTGGGGAACATAAAGCAACAAAATAGGAGACTAACATCCAAGAATGGCCGAGATTAGTACCAGGAATTTTACTCCATGGCTTGGAGGCCAGCCATACATACTAGGGGAAAAGGGAGCTCAGATAGAGAAGGGAGCACCAAATAAAGGGTGTTGGGAGGATCCTCCCAGGATGGGATAAGCATGCTGAAAGTAGACTATAGACCAAACATGATTGTCACCTATTGCCTCTTTTGCAAACCACAACACCCAATAAGAGAGAGAGAACAAAAGGGAATGCCCTGCCACAGAGGCAGGGTGAAATGGGGTGATGGGGGGTGGGAGGGATACTGGGATCCATGGTGGTGGGAAATGGACACTGGTGGAGGGATGGGTATTTGATCATTGTTTAATTGAAACCCAAGCACAAAAATTTGTAAGTCTAAAACTATACCTCATGGTGTCTCACTAATAAAAATTTTAAAAATAAATAAATAAAAAAGGTGTTCCAAAGACCAGTCTCTGCTATTTCCCACTAAGGTAGGCTAACTGTCCAAGGAGAATCTTATTGTCACTCTATGAAGTCAGACAGAATTGAAAAAATAATTAGTTATACCCACTTTGAAAATATTTGTGAAGGATAATTACTGACTTCAAAATATGTCAGATCCTGCTTAGTACCTGAAAGAAATTAATTGAAACTTGCCACGACCACATTAAAAAATCATTTAAAAGACACAATTCGACTTCAAAAGGTAAAAGGTAAAGGTAAAGGCCCTCCCGTTGATCGTCGATTTGCTCGAGCGGGCCCAGTAACGTCTCCATTGGAGACTTTGTTGTTACTGTGTCTGGCATATCGAATACTCTCGGTAGCTTGCCGGGCTCTCCGAGAGGGGCGGAGGAATCGAACTCGGGTCGGCCATGTTGGCCGCGTGTAAGGCGAACGCCCTACCCGCTGTGCTATCGCTCCAGCCCTTTATTTAGAGTTAGTTTTGCTATGTTGCTTTATTGACAGTTATTTAAACTCTTAGGGAATATTTGTATTATGGGTAGAGTAATACTTCCTTAAGAAATGCTTAAACTCTTATAAATGTGTAATATTAGGATTTTCAATTAGATTTGTATTCTATTCAACTCACTATAAAAGGATATTAACTGCATTTTTCAATGAAAAGGAAGCAAACACTGTTATATTGAAAAATTGGTCACATTTTAAGTGACAATTACAAGATTAGATGACCTGCATTCTGTTCGATGGCATGAAAAGACTGATCATCAATCAAAGAATAAGCCTTA